GCCCTGTACACACACACACCCCTTACACCATAGCTACGACGAGGAGGGGGAGGAGTAGGAGGAGAACGAGGAGTAGGAGTACAGCCGTTTTATTCTTTTTTATTTTCTTTTTTTTCTTTTTTTCTTTTTTTTCCGGACACTATAGGGGCTCCGGACCGGAATCCGGACAGGGGGGCCGGGTCGGTCCGGATATTCCGGAATATTCCGGTTTCCCGGAACTCCGGAAGGGCCCGGGAGGTCCGGGGTCCGGGGTCCGGTGTCCGGTCCGGCGTACTATGGTCTGTTCTCATTTCGCTGGCTTCGGATGATCTCGACAATCCCTGCAACACTGCGTGTATGTGCCGTTTCACACCCCAACTAGAGAACATGCAGCAAAATCATACTTGCGGCGCATCGCGATGTGCTGCACTGCGCACGTGCGCCGCACAGTGCATCCCGCACGACGCGCGCGCACCTGTCTCTTATACACATCTAGATGTGAAGTGATAATCCACCTTAACCAAAATCAAAGTAGACTATCACTCACCCACACCAGATGGAAAACTCTACAGACTGTCGGTTCATATATATATATATATTGTCACAAACAGAACTGCTAAACCGTAGGCAGAGAGAGAGAAGAGGACAACAAACGAGGGGCTGTGACAAACTGTTTATATATATAAGGGCAGTGGTTGGTGCCCACCTCAGGGTATCACTTGCCAGGCAGTCGTTGATGCTTAACCACAACCGGGGTTAAAGTGGATTATCACTTACAGTGTAATCAGTTAAAGGATTCTGCAGATTGTTGAGCGTTCAGCCTCCCGACGAGTTGGTGAAACTCCGATAAAACAGTTTGCTGTCCTCTTCTCCCTCTCTGCCTACGGTTTACCGGGCAGTTCGGTTTGAAAATATATATACATATATAGATATATATCAACACACACACACACACAAACACCTGCCCCCCTCGTTTTGCATAGCACAGCGCACCACATACATCACTTTCTCTTTTCTGTCTGATTGCTCTGCGGTTTGATCCATGCTCAGAACTGCGTACACCACCTCGCCATGCACCACTCTCAGTGTGGACGTCTTCGTGTATGGTATGAACTACCGCAGACACCGAAATGATCTGATGGTGCACAGATGCGTGTACTGGTACGACATAGGCTCTCGTGTTTCTCCTCAAGGTCTATTTTTTCTGGCAGGGGAAGGAAGGCGGATGTGACGGGCGCTGCGGTGCGCACAACTTTGAGCACAGATCAACCGTACAAAATAGAGAAAAGTGACACAGAACCGACTGACTACCTTTCTCAAGGGAAAAGAACATCTTCAGGGGGCTGAGGAAGAGAGGGATCCCTACGTGTGAAAACATGTCCACATTTCTACACTCGTTGGGCTGTGGGATCGGGACCAGATTCAAAAAGAAGCCACTTTCGCCACACCTCCACCCAATAAGGTGAGAGACTTTCCAACCATAAACTCAACTTAGTCATTGAGAAACCAATTGAAGGCGGGAAACAAAGTGAAGAGGGGGAAAAAAGAAAATGGTTGGTTCCTCTGTTCCATGGCTACGATCCGGACCACCGGACAGGGATCCGGACCATCCGTGGTCCGGGGTCCGGGTCCGGATCTTGGTCCGGATGTGAGGGCCCTAGCCCAATGGCCAAATTTTTTTTCGGTGGTCGGGGGCGATTTTCACGCCCTGGGCCGCCCAAAAAAAAATAGTGCATTATTTTTTACCAACCTCACTGATGATCCAGACGGCCCAGAAAACGAGGTGGTTTGGTTTTCTTTTTTTTTGTTTGTTTTTTTCATACTTGCGGCGGCGCACTTAAAAAAAAAATAATGAAAAAGTTGAAAGGACAGTGTGGGGTGGCCAAACATTCCCCTCGCTTCTGAAAATCAGAAAGGAAGAGGGAGAAAAGTCGGGCCCACACCATACCCCAAAACTGTCCTAGTTGGGTCCAGCCTCTTTTCAGTAGGATCCCTACAGCATACTAGCCAGGATCCTACGCCATGCAGAGGTACAATTCAAACTTGTACTTCGTGAGCGTGCGCAGAGAATATATAGTCTGGATTCGAATTCAGGTCTGTGCATCTCGGTTATGGGTCACTATTTCGTTTCTCTTTTCTTCTCTCGTTTTCCTTTTCTTTTTTCGTTTTTCCTTTCTTTTCTCGTTTTTCTTTTCTCGTTTTTCTTTTCTTAGGAATACGTGCAGTGGCCCTAAGGGCCTCTACTCACCAAATGCACAAAAGACAAAACACGTATTATTCCACGTTCTGCAGAAGATTCATTCTAATTTTGCACATTTCGTGAGTAGTGCAGCCAAGCCCTAAGAGTCACGT